CCGAAATTCCGTTGCGAGACACTACTACCAAGTTCGACTATTCCATCACTTATCGGCCTGTCAATACAGTGGACAGAGAATCAAGCACGAGCATTTTCGAGGATTCTAGAATCAAAGCGACGACATCGACAGCTTCGATTGGAGTCGAAACGACGAGTAATAGAATAACAAGCAATAATTTACCTACAACGCCAGCTGGACTTAAATCGACTCAAATCCATGTAGAGGTTTTGGAATCAACAGCACCATCTTCATTCGTTCAGCTCGAGAAGACTCATGCTACAGCCGCTTCTTTGCCGGCAAGTCAGACTGAAAGTCCTACGACTTTTGGAAATATCACCGAAAGAATTATATCAGAAAAGACTTCGACTACTTCATTTTTGAATTTAATTGATACTAAAGCAGTTGCGTCTGAAACTGTAACTAAAACGCAATCAACAACCGCGTCGATCGACACAAATCTATCTTCAAATAAGCCTATGACAACTAATGAAAATTTCGACAACACTCTCGCTAATTTGAATTTAAGCGATCCAGTGTCTGCCATTGACAAAGTAATAAGCATCGTACCACTACCGTCCAGCACTCCCACAATAAAGATTGATTTACCTGATAACATATCGAATTTCGTTGGTGAAATAGCTGGCGATATTGCAAGTGGCCTTATCGCTGGATTTCCAACGACAAATGTATCGAATTTATCGACTATTGAGAAAGAAAAAATCGAAAATGTCACTAAATTACTTGAAACGGAAAAAAATGTTACGCAATCGACGCAAGAGATATTAATGAATCCAGTTCAAAACGGTACATTAATTTACAATACTTCAACGCAGACTAAAGAATCAAATGATACTCTAGAACCAATTAAATTGTTAAGCATTAATGAGAGAATAGACGATTCCACGAAAACATCTTTATCATCGCCAACAAATAAATTCACAAATGTCAATGGTGAATCAAAAGTTGCTATTAAGCAGAACGCAACAACCGTGGAAGTCGTTAGCGTAATTCCTGAACAGACGACGATGACAACGATGACAACGATAGATGTTGGTATTCGATTGCCAGGCGTCAACAAAACACTTAATACAAATAACAATCAGAAGAAAACGGAAATAAAGGAGAAGATAAAAACGACTGAAACACCTATTGTGAGGACAGACTTAAGTCCCGAACTATCTAATCAGTTATCCGTAAAAGTTGCGAATGATATCAAAAACTCAGGACACGTGAAAAACAGTTCGAAAATAGAAGCATTAAACGAAAAGAACGATTCCTTCGCAAATGCTTTAATAACGAAGGAGACTGTAGTGATTCACTCTATTAACGATTCGAGTTCCGAGTCGAGTTCACAAGCATACAGTGACGTCACAACGGACATCTCTGTTTTGAATATTACGTCTGATGCTATTGTGTCAAATAGAAATTCTACCGATTCTACACTTTCACAAAATCCAAATCACGTTACTAGTACAGCTGGCTACAAGAACAAAGATAATATCCAGAATAAAGAGGATAAAAAGAACAATGAATCTTCTTTTATATCAATTAAAGAGTATACCAATAGCTCAATAAAAATAACGCAAAACTCAACGAACGATGCAAATGAAAATAAGGGGAATATTTCTCGACCTGATAACTCTGTCAATAATACGTCAAGTCAGATTGACAAAAATGTGATGCAGACCACGTCAATGGTCAACGCATCAATACAGAACGACGAGCATTCGAATAACACGGAGAGCAAGACTGCCTCTTTGAAACATTCCGAGAGTTCGCCGAAGCCGGATATGATACGTTTGCAAACGTCGACGTCACCGTCTAGTGTTCCGATCCGTCAAACGTCAAAGTCTGATTTCAAACCGTCGGAGAAGCCCGACGTTACGAAGACTGATGCTGATGTAAACACGGAGGACAAGTGGACGCTTATATCACAACAGGCTTCGCCAGCCATATCGAAGCTTCCAAAGCCGCCGAAATTGTCGAAGCCGCTGCAGAGGAAACCAGTCAATCACGCCCAGACGTTACCACCTTCCAACGACTTGAATTCCAACGATAGCACTCACGTTCGTTCTCCAGGAATCGAAGCGCCGGCACATCAACAAGAACAACCACAATCCTCGACACAGTCCTTCCTACCGCTGGATGTGTCTCAGAGTGCAATCGGCTTAGACGCTACCATAAGACACACCAGCACCGATATTATAAATTTTGCCAAGCTATGCAACGAGTTGGCCTTCAATTTCTGGGTAGCCACTAATAAGGGTCTGAGCACCGCGAGGTCGTTGGCACTCTCGCCGTTCGGTATGACCAGCTTACTGGCGATGATCTTCTTAGGTGCTCGCGGTCCGACATCCGATCAGATGAACGAAGTACTCGGTCTGGATGATGTGGCCACGTTCAATCCACACTTGGTTTTCCAAAACATAACCGACGCGGTAGGTTTAGCTCGTGGCCAGGGTATCGCGAACGCTGCCTTCGTCCGCGAGTTGTTCGCTGATAAGATGAAGGTCAGGAAACTTATGCCCTTCTACAAAGAGCAGGCCCAACAATTTTACGAGGGTCTCGTGACCGAAGTGAACTTCGCCACCATTAGCGATCTCGTGCGCAGAAGAACGAATCTGCTGGTTAGGAAACAGACTGGCGGCAGAATCAAGGACTTCGTTAAGACGAATACGGTGCCGCTCAGATCACCTTTGGCGGCGCTCTCCGCCAATGTATTTCAGACCGATTGTAATAGCAGTCTGACAAGTTCCGTTGGTAGGGACGGCGAGTTGTACTTTGCCGTTTCGCCGGCTGTGAGACAAAGGAAACTCGTACCGGTCCCAGCTACAACTTGGCGATCGGGTGTCTTAGCCGGCTATGAACCTAGTATCGATGCCACAGCAATCGCTCTTGGAGGTAGCGACAAATTGGTTTCGACGATCTTCGTGTTGCCGGGTCAACAGGGTCACACCGCACCCGGCGATACTCTGGATCGTCTGGAGCAGCGTCTCGTCAGAAGTGCGTTTCGCGATGGAGCCTGGAACAAGCTTCTCAAGGTTCTCATACTGAGACACGGTCTCGAGTTGCAAGTGCCTAAATTCAGTCATAGATCCGTTGTCAACGCGACTGCTGCCTTGAAGAGGATGGGCCTTGATGAGCTCTTCTCGGGCAACGCCGATTTTAAGGGTATCAACGGCATAGGTCATCGTCTTCACTTAGCCGACGTGTTACAGGTACATACATTTGTCTGTTCTATATCCAATATGTATATATGATAATGCTGCTTATAATCATGAATTTTCTTCGCAGATGAATTTATTCAGCACCTGTGGCGACGAGAATATTCTTAACGGTCGACATCACGTGGAAACGTATCCCGCCAGTCCATTAAGAAGAAACGTTGAACGACGAACGGAGGACGATAATTTCGGAAACACTGCTGAGGAGAATACAATGAGATATGGCATATTGCCGCAAGAGGACAATATAGATTCTTATGCAGAGCAATCGCGCACGGTTCTGTACGGATTCTACAGAGAGGAAAGGCAGCTCTCGGGCTCGTTGGAGAGACCAAGGTTGAAGCTTGATAGACCCTTCTTATATTTCGTTCGACACAACCCTTCCGGTATAATACTTCACATGGGACGTTTCAATCCGCGATTACTTCCCTAAAGTAGGGCCTATCATCTTCTATCGAATGCCATTAATTCGATCCTGTTCCTTCTATTCGACATTTATATCCACGAATTTTTGTACAATCGAGGAAAACGACTCTCGTTATAATTGCTCAAACGATTCGTTCTCTATTAGTCGAGCGACTCAACGCGACATGATGTCGTGGCCCATTTTTTCTGAACAATGAAGGTAGGACGTGTATTTGGCATGTTCTAGAAAATTTGTAAACAATTTTGTTTAGAGTTATTACCTATTAGTATCTTCATCGTCTTCACTTAGAAATAAGAAATTAGCGCGATATCGTATTCGCGGCACATTAATATATGTCGAACGGACCTGGCATTGACATAGATCTTATCATTTTATATTTAGGGAGTGGTTAAACGCATAAAAATAACAGACTGAAGAACGGAGAAGAGAAAAATGGTACAAAAAGAGAAGATCTTAATCGCGGTCCAAATGATCATCATCATCATCATCATCATTATTATTATTATTACACTTCTTTTTTTTTTATATACAAGTATAAAAATATAATTATTTTTAACGCGATCGCCAGCGAATGTTAAACTTTTATCGAGAATCAATAATTTATTTGGACCCTGATTGACATTATACGCATCTTTTTTTTTTAATATGATTAACAATTGTGATATGTAACTGAGCGTTGAATTTTTTTGTACATTTCGTAGATTAATCTGTTAGGACACACACATTGTATGTGAAAAATGTTTCGATGTATTTTTTTCTTAACAAAAAGACTTGATGTCGAACGGATGATGCGTTGAATAAAAGCAACATCTCTCGTTCGTTCTGTCATTCTTAAAGGTAAACTCCAAGCTGGCTTTTTGGGCATTACCGTACTTGTGAGAACACAAGATAAGAAAACTGCGTTGATATCGCGCAACCTACCATAAATAATATGCGAACTGTCTTTCCCAATACGGACAACTCTGAAATAGCGACTGATATTCGGATTGTAAAATATATCGCAATATAGAATATATAGCAAATGGCGAAAATTACATTGTACCTGCTGCTATAAATATTTACATCGACATGATCTTTGATATATCACAAACGTAATCATGATTATGTCAATTTATATATATGTATATATTTATATATACACTCCGTGTATTCCGTGTACGACTTATCTAATGTGTTCTATTGCAGAGGGTTTTTTCATACTTTAGAAAATTTAAACTGTTTACGCATATCATCTCGTTATCTGTGTTAAAATGGTACACGTCATTGTTAGATGATAACCACGCTGAACGGCATTGAGGGGATCTGCATTCGCTTATCGCGTAGTTATCGTTAAGTCGTCGTAAAGGTAGAAACTTATTGTTTTTCAGTTTTTAACGCTGGTGAAACACTGGCTGAAACTGACTAAAATTGCCTCAATTCTACTTGGAACTGCAATTGCAACAAACACAAGCATTCTTCGTTACAATGCACTGGGTGATCGTCATAACGCATCGAGAGTGATCAGGAATAATCACGAGTTTTTAATGTATTGACATACAAGGTACGCGATCGAGTGACAAATATATATCTCGTTCGCGATTTTACTGTCTGATCCTAACAAACATTCGCCACAATTGAAGAGAGATCCTGTAACAGAATCTAACATAGAAAAGTATATTCTAATTTTTCCTATATACTATCTCACTCTAACTATATTTCATTTTACAATCTTAATTTTTAGTACCCACAATGATTTTTTGATTCTTAGTACACGATGAGTCATTCATGTCCTGGATTAATTTTTATCACTTTAATAAATATACAAAAATTATTGAGTGATTTTTACATATACTTTAACATCTTTAGAAAATATTTGTAAGGTGTATTTAAAAAAAAATATTGTAACTCTCTAATTACTTGGTGTTTTTAGTTTTTCGAAGAAAAAAGTGTGCAGGAATGACCCAATCGTGTGTATTAAGGTTATAAAATGAGGTAGTATAAGTTATAAAATGAGGTAGTATAAGTTAAAGACAGGAAAGAAGTATACCGTTTTTCTTGAAGTGATAAAATCACCTGGATAAAATCACTTGTGGCCAATCTCTATTATAGGACTCTAATCAGAATATTCTATATTCTAACCGTTAAAATAATTTTCCAGTTTTATCGCTCGCAAACGGCAATTTGCGTGTGTTATGCAACTTGCAGGAAGTTGCATCAAGGACTGAGTTGGATTTCTCACTGATACTCATGTATGTATTAGTGTTTTGTTCCAACGGAACAAATTCAAGCGTTCGGAACAGAAGCGTTTGGATAAACGATGGGTTGATACGAGTTTAAATACTTTCGTTTGCGTTCAGATATCGCTGATCCGTTACGCAACGTTAGTGCGCTTTAAAACAATATGAACACCTTGCTTCGAACAGTATACGATGCTTTACAAATCTGTACAGGTTCAGTACACAAAAATCCAATCGTATTACCGATTATTAATATATTGCCTTAATAATCAAGTTTTCTAAAAATACATCCACGTTAAGAAGATACGAATGAGATGTGAAAAGCAACACTTTGTGTATCAACTCCGGGATCATTATCATCGTAAATAAGTAGTATACACTTGCGATAAGCCGTGTAGATTAATAACTAACTGCGAGGAAGAAATTTCCCTTTCCGACTGTCTCATATCAAGATGTTTTTTCTGATCCTGTTGGTATGTATACCGCCTTACTGATAATTTAGTATTCGCTGGGCGATTATCCATTACAATTTGACACGATAATTTTACGCTTCTAATCGGCGGTGATTATCAGCGTTCGTTTGCCGATCGCTGTCGAGATCTTGGACTCTTTGTTTAAGCTGCTTATTGTTATTCGTTGCTACGAAAGCACAGAACCGCTACTATCGAGGGAGTAAAAGTAGACACCTCAAGCACGCGTTTCGTCTTACAATTAGACGGGGTAAATCCATGTGACTCGAAAGTTATACATATATCTATAATGCGACTTATTCAGGATGCGGATTGCTCCGGCCGCATGTTGGCTACTATCCTGGTCGCATGGGTAACAACAGCAATGATAGCCTCGATATTACTGCAATGGGAACACATGTGGGTTGTTTTGGTAATATTGACGTTACTTTTCTTCTTGGTTTGTGGATATACCGTTTACACCGTGAAAAGAACTCACGCGAGAATTCTGATCGAACAACAAAGAGCAGCGATTCGGACTGTCTCGGACATTACTACCAATCGCAGACAGGTACTAATTTATTATTTTCGAACAATCGATTTTGAATTTTTAAATATCTTTCAGGGGTCTTAAGGTGAAGTCCATAGATTTATAAGATAGATGGAGCATTCATATGAGAGAAGCTGAAGACTTGATGGAAAGAGAAAAAAAAATTGCGGAGTAGTTCTCTTCTTTTCTAGTGGTGAATTGATTGATCGCCGCGGCAACCTGGGAAGTGGCCGAGAGCAACGAAAATAGATGTTCAAGAGTTGTCACCTTACGATCAGGCTGATTGGTCCCCCACCGCTCTCTGTAAAAGAGAGAAACAACTGTCTGGAATAGAGCTGTCCTTCAATGTTGTCTTCAGCTTCTCTCATATGAACGCTCCGTCTGTTTTATAAGTCTATGAAATAGTGAAATCACAAGATGCGGAATAGGACTGCGGAATAGAGAATGCATCATTGAAGCAACCAATCAACGCTATTTCGCATTTGATGTTGCGAAATAGAATGCGTCATTGTGTTCGTAAAATCACCTAAATCGTGTTCTTGAATAAACTATTTTGAAAGGTTAAAATAATTTGATGCTAATTGATATGATGGAATCGTGTTTGTTAAGAATGAAACAAAATGAAACAAAATATAAGTGCATAAATATAGATATTAAGATAAAAAAATAATGACTAGATGTGATTTTTGCCTTGTTCACATGATGCGGAAAATGATAGTAAAAATTGCGTTAAAGTAGTTAAAAAAATTGTTATAAGATTGTAAATACAATGTTAATTGTAAAATATTAAATAATAGAAAAGTGATAATTGTTTTTTTATAATTTGATAAATTATATTTCATTTTAATAAGCAAATTATTAACATAAAATTAGTAATGTTTAAATTATATTCATCCTGGATGGGAACTTCAGTGGTGGAAAAGTGCGGAATAGAGTTAATGGGTTGCGCTTCGATAACGTGTGTTCTATTTCATACCGTGTGATTTCACCCTTATTTTTGAAAAATATCACATATGAAAATATTATAATATATGTTACTCTCTAAAACTTTTTAATTATTTATTTACAGTGAATCTCACTCTTAAAGATTGAAAATTAAGTTATTCTTCTTTGTTTAGAATAAAAATCCATTCCAAAAAATTTAAAGAGTAAATTTTCGTGATACAAATTCAAGAACAAATTTCCAGATCTATCTATTAATATATAATCATATATTAGTATAAATCATACACGAAGCAAGTATAATTTTATATAAGATGCAGCACTTCTCAGAGGAATGTCCCAAAGAAAAGGAGTTAAATACATGTCTCCGTGTTCGTATTTTGCAGGCGGAATCGTCAGCGTATGCAGTGCATTCTTCTCCAGATTTACCACCGTCTTACGCGTCTGTGATGACTGTTCAGGGAACATCGAGGTCTACTCAGATGTTAACGACCATCAACCCATCCAGCGAGGATAAATTCGAGAATCCTCCACCGTATTCCATCGTAATTGCATCTATAAATGCGGCGCAAGAGCAAAACGTGGAAATGTCAAGAGAACGGCATGTACCGTCCACAAAAAAAAACGAAGTTGCCATTTTAACTACTTCCACCCTCGCCTCCGTGTCTCAAACGTATCCACAACCGAGATGATTTATAATTAATTAAATTAGTCTTGTAGAAGATACAAATGGGATTCACATTGAAAAATGCTTTGAAAAATGCATTGAAAAATGCAATGAAAAATGAGTGAATGAATGAATTTTTGATATGATCATAATTGAAATTTTTTGTCAATAAAACTATTGTTATCTTGAAGATATCATTAATGATAAGAACTTCAACGAGGAAAATGACCGATTAAAATTTGTTTGAACGATAGAACAAAAGTTATGCGTTTATCGCGGCTAAAAAAAAATTGCAACATATATCTGTTTAGTTTAGAAAATTGTATTTCTATCCGTGATATTTTCTTGGCACACGTAAAATTTTAAACAAATTAAATTTGTATTTCTCGCATTTTTAACAAACAAATTTTCTACAGTGTTATATATTATAAAAATATATTATAAAAATTATTTGTAATTTTTATAGCATTCGCCAAAGTAAAGACTGAAATCAAGTTGTAGCAGCAGTTGACTCTTTTTTTAATGCTCAATATTCAAATAATTAAATTAATATTCAAATATTCAAATAACGCAAGTTCTTTATGAGATAATTAATTCAAAGTAATTATTTTTAAGATGTCTTTGAGACTAAAAAGACGTCTTCAAGACTTTCTGACATAGATATTATACATATAAAATTTATAACAACTAATTTTATGTGCAAAATATAGGCGTTTTATTAATGCAATATTTGTTGCTCTTTTCGTATGTATAGTCTATATAAAGATATGAAATAATAAACAGATAATAGATTGTTGCACTGCGATAGTGTGTCAAGTGCATAAAAATATAGTGAAAAAGCTCCTTTTATGAGATACCGAGTTCATTTTAGGTAAATACTAGAAGTCCATAAGCAGAATTTAAAAAATAATAGGTCATTTTGAAAAGAATTTAATAAGCTTTAAGATAACGTTATATAAAATTTAATTTAAATTCCTTTTTTTTGAAAATTAAAGAATGTAAAAAGTGAGCAAATCACAAAATCAAAAATTTGTGCTCTTAATATGAGATGCCTTAATATGAGATGCCTTAATATGAGAAATCGATATTAAAACGCAAAGTATATCAGTATTGCAATTAAAAAACTTTATTTAATGTTTCTAAAATACAATCAAACACAGCGTGCGTGAAAAATAAGCATGCGATTATACCCAGAACTTGTCTTTCAGGTAGTTGGAATCAAGCATCTGCGCAGAAATAGGTACGTTTTTGATGTTCATTCCGGTTGTTTTTTTTATTATTATACAATAATATTTATATTTTAGCAACGATTTTCACTATAACATAGGAACATGGGTTATTACAAATATTCTGAGTATCTCATATTACGATTTCCACGCCTGGTTTTACGATCATCAAATCTAAATCTAACTTCTATAATTAAACAATTCAACATATCCCATTTTTCTATTAGTACTCCTTACTCTATCACTACAAAAATTTATTGTCAAATATTTATTTATTAAATAATAAATAAGATTTAAAGGCTCATCTTAATAAAATTTGAAGACATCCAAATTCTAAAATCTCTCTTTTACAATGACTATGGGCATGATCTAATAATGAATGTTCTACTAAATAAGTTTTAATTCAAGAGCAATAAATTCATGGTGGAATCAATAAATAGCGTAGTTTATTAGTTTAGTAGAAACGCCGCTATTTCATATTAGGCGCCTACCTCATAATAAAGGGTTTTCCTCTAAAATGGGTCGCTTGATCGCTTAATGTGTAAATGTCATTGCATATATGTTCATGCCATTGCCAAATTTACGATGCTATCACTAGTTTTATCTGAATTTTTTTTCTCATCAACAAATTTTAGATTAATTAAATTACTCAGAAACTAAAACTGCAATAAAAAAATCTAAATCTTTTATTATAGGTATAATGTCATCGGTATCTTTCGATTGCGACCAGTTCGAATAAAATTAGTGCAGCCGATACCGAGATCTGGAGATCGTGTCCTGAAGAGAACCATTTCAGCTTTTCAAATTTTTTCAATCGTACATGTGACACATATAAAGCGTTTTGTTCATTAAGCTGCTTTTCATAATGCCTTCATACAATTTTAATTTTAATCAAATACTTATACATGTGATAAGGTGTGATAAGGTGTGATAAGTAATGATAAAACTTTTGCATAGGAGGTAGAGCGGATAAAACTGAGTTGAAATGTCCTTTACCATTTTACAATTTTTGTAATAGTTAACAAGATATTAATTATTAATAATTGCTAATAATAATTGCCGAATATTGGTTTTTCAATAATTTTGTACTCAAGTACTCAACTTTACAGAAAAACAACAAATGATAAAAATTGTTAATTTTTTTCTCATAGAATTCTGAGAATTTTTTCAGAATTTTTTAATATCGTATTTTCTCATGTTGTAAAAATAGTTGTCAATAAAAAAATGCAGCACAAAAAAGTTAAAAAATCTTAGAGCTCTATGAGAAGAATAAACAATTTTTGTCTCTTGCTATTTTTCTGTAAAGTTAATAGTATTTGAGTAAATAATTGAGTAAATAATTATTGAAAACCAATATTCGATATTTAATTAATTGATATCTTGTTAATTCATACGAAAATTGCAAAATGATAGAAGATTTTTCTTCTTGTCTTTGTGATTCAAGTCTTATATTGCAAAGTCCTTTGCAAATGAAAATTTGTCTTTTGCATGATTTTTTAATGACAATTTTCAAATTTTCATATTTTTTAAAAACATAATTTATTATATTTTTACAATTTGTTATAGGCAGTTCTAATCCTTGGAAAATTTGTAAGGATTTTAAAAGCGTTACAATCGAACAATGAAAAAGTTTGCGATTTTTTGTAACTAATGTAACACAAGCATTTTTTATTTCTTCTACGGAGAATTTAACAAAAATTTAGTTTTTTTTCCGCAAACTTGTTTACTTTGTTCATCCCGTGTTTCGTCAATTCTTCTTCATAAATTTTTTAATGATTTGCAATCATATATTTCCTTAAATTAATTGGAAAACACGTGATCCATGGAATTCCTTATGTTTTACATATAGCTTCATCTTTCTCATTGTCGAAAAAATTCTCAAACACATATGTTCCGTTTTTGACTCATGATACGCAGTAATATCTACTTAAATACATCCACCATCTACACTGAAAAAAATTTTGTTCAATTGACTAAATTAAACTAATTCGCTTTCGAAGAAGAAAGTATGTATTTATGTGATATATAAAATGTTTGACTTAAATTTATATATTATCTTTGCCAAAAGAAATAAAGACAAACTAAATTAATTAAGTAAAATAACGAATAATGATACTTTATAGTTTGTGTATGTTATATATGCACATCTTGACTCGTCGTTCTCAAGATTTTGATGTTAATTGCCAATAAACAATTTAAAATTCCGTAGTAATCTTTGTTATTATGTCTAAGCCATAAGCATTGTATGTAAATTATTAAATCATCAAACTATCACTTTTTTAATCTAATGTCATATGTCATTCTAATTTTATAAATTTTTTTTTAAGATTTAATCTGCTTTTGATACATCATTCCATATCTTCCTTTTTACTTTTTGTGACAATTATATCGTTTTATTATAACTTTATTGCCTGGAATCTGTTTTCATCGTCGAATGTAAAATAGATTTTGACTATTTCTCACAGAATTCTCTAATTTCTATTTCTTAGACTTTAAAATGACAAGCAATTACACAGTTTATTCTTAATATTTCTTTTTTCATACTTATTAGTTTTTTATATACAAGATGTTGCTTTCAATTTTGATAACGGTTTCTTATTTATATATTCCTATTCTTACTCATGTCAGTTTGAAATATGTTTAATTATTTTTACTGATTTTTAACGTCTCATGTATTCAATCTTATATTTTACTTAATATTTTATTTACGTAAGTATTACTTGAAAATTACGTTAAAATCAACATCAAGGTTATTAGTGAGAAGTTATTTGGGGCGGGCTGTGTAAAGGAAAGCATTTACCAAATTTTATATATCTAACTGCAGTTAATCTGTCGGGTAAAAAAAAGAGTTATTAAGTACTTTCCAAATTATAAGGCTTGAAAATTACAGTATCGCCGGCATAAAATTGCTCAAGATGTCCGACTGACGGTTAAAATCTCTTGAATGTTGTTCAGGATCATATTTGTCAAGATCAAGGTTATGGGAATATATACTTCTTATTTTGATTTTTATGAAAAATGAATTTTTAGTATAAAAATGAAAATAAAAGATATAAATGATCTTGATCTCCAATGATCTCCAATGATCTTGATCTTGACAAATGTTCTTCAGCAAGTAATCCAGAATGACGCTCAAGAGATTTTAGCCGTCAGTCGGACATCTTGCATACTGCTATGCCGGCGGTACTGTAACTTTCAAGCCGTATAATTTGAAAAATACTTAATGAAAAATAAGAATTATTACAATGTTTAAAAAGCTTTTGACACCAGATATTAGATTCTGGTATCAAAAATAAATTATCCTATTAAAAAAAATTGATCCGACCTTGATCTTGGTCGACGCCATCCAAAGTCAAATCAATGTGATTAGTAAATAGATTTTTTAACCCTACAACTTTTATTTGAAACATTTTTCTAACAACTATTTGTTGCTAGAAAAAAAGTTTCAGCTTTTTTTAATAGCCATATTAATTCCAATTCTTTGAGTTTTTCTTTTTCAATTTTTTGATTCCTCCAGGAAATAGCAACGAATAATATAATTAAAATATCTATAAAAATATCTATAATAAAATTGAAAGATGTCTAGAAAAGTAAAACTCTGAAAAATTGTCTTACTTATATAACTTTTATAAATATTAAAATTAAAAATTACTTAAAATGATGACATGGAATAAATTTTAATGGTGTTGCTTTTATTTTTAGATTTATTAATTAGTCTTATGACATTAAAAAAATAAATAGTTTAAATATTATACAGAGTCGTATATATGTACTATATATATTTAACATTCTATTTTTTCTTTTAAGTATTATACAATAAAATATTATACAATAAAATGGTAAATACATTCACTGATTTTCAAACA